GGGCTTTTAACTGAAACGTTACGTAAACACTCTTAAAATATCGCGGGACAAACAGAAATACATAAGAAGAAAAGTTTTTTTAAAAAGTAATGGGCCCTCTTCCACGCCTTTATGCGTATAGGGCATATTGGGCTAAATCTATATTTTTATAGACCTATCGGCACAAGATTAGTGATATGGTCAGCATCACGCTGGCCGCCTTTACTTTCCGAGACTGCACCTGGTACCCACTCAAGGCTGGGTCGACCTGAGAGCCAAAGTCATTTTTTTTTTAAGTCAGGCTTCGCCAGGGAGCGAACCCACGACCTTCCGATCAGCGGCGAGCGTCTAGTCGCTCCTCCACGGCGACTCCCAAGGAAATACATACTGACATTCTAACAGATTGCAGCACTCAGAATAAAAGGGTCTAAAAAACCGTGTCCAGAGTTGCCATGTGGCGCGTCTGCGCTCCGATTGTCCTGGGTTCGAATCTGTAAATGGTGGCTCTGTGGTGGCGGGAAGGGGGAAGTGGGGGGTCATGACCTTGTTCCTCTAGAATAATATGTCCAGACAAGTAAAGACTGTCAACGTGGTGTTGACCACCTGTTTCGTCGAGTCCCGATTGGTTCATTGAAAAATGAATGTCTGTTACCAGAGCCACCGTGGTGTAGTGGCCAGACGCTCATCTGAAGGTCAACTCATTCAAACGTGATGATTCACTATCATCCTTCCCATAGCCGAACTGGCCTCTGACACCGGCCTTAAATGTATGACAGGTACAGTTTTCAGAAGCAAAGGTGGCCGACATGATTTTAACCACATTACCCACCAAGTGCCGATTAGTCTATCAAATATAGGTCTAGCCTTAGATGCCTAATTTGCCTAAAGGCGTAGAGAAGGGTCCTTTACGTTTACCACGTGCCAGATGCAGCACTGGTCTGCAAGGGATTCTTCACTTTGCTAACAAAAACTCACACCAACGTCGTTCGTTCAGTACATCTGTGATTTTGGGAAAGTAAACTCTGCAACGTCAACTCTTTCAGTCCCATGCAACATGTGTTGCATAACAGACTCTTCCACGCGATTCTCTGCCATCGCCTAATGTGTTCACTCCCATTTTAGTCGTGGTCGGAGCGCACTAAAGAAATCTGGCTTCCTTATTGGCTATTTCCGCCGCGTAATTTGCCTGTTTGATAGTTATGACTTCCTAACTTTGAATATTGGTCTTCGTTTCCTTGGGCATGCGCTGCGAGAACTGCCTGGGTTTAAGAGTTTATCCGCACAAATTATTTAGAAAGACCTGCAATTGAATGCGTAATTCTTATAAGAAAAGGTTTGTATCGATTACGACGAAGGTGGACTCTAGATTTTTCGAAGTGGTTTGTACACTTACAAGAATGCCCTGGTACTATCCGCCACAGCGAGCCACACTAAAACGTTACAACGGGTATAGAGCGACTGGAAGACCTCGGAAAATATGGAGTGATGGCGTTAAGAACAGACTTTCAGAAATGAACATCCGTCTTAATAGTGCTCTTGACAGAGCTCATCGATGAACATTACATCTCCCCCGACACTTCGATAAGGTAAAAGTTGGAAGAGAAGAAGAAGAACTCAAGGAAAGAAGAATTTCCAAAACGTGACAGCATTCACCCAAACATCACGAACTCCAACACTTCAGTGCATGAAACTAGCCTACGAGGTCCAGTAAGCAGCCTCACACACCATACATCAAGTCTCTCACACAATCCAGCAGCTACAGAAAGCCAGATAATGTGGCTGATACGAGGCGTTAGAAATTTTAAGCACGCTGAATAATTGATATCATTGCAATTCCTACTGTCTCTATTGTAGAGTATTCTTGATTTACAGCGAATCTACTCTGAAAGACAGAGAATAGAAGTAGATCCATTGGGGAACGTCGATGGAGGAAAGATTCCGGCTCATATTCAACATGCAAGTGTATTTCTTGCCGTAGAGAAATATTAAAACACATATTAAAATAACTAATACCGGATATAAAAATATCATATCATATATAAAAATAAACAATAGTATACATAAATGCCTAATCGAATTTATAATCTTAGAGAGGGAAAAGTATTTTATAATCCGAAGAACACCTTTGTAATAAATCTACGTCTTTACATTCAGAAATAACGTTTCTTAAATTCTAAAAAAAAAAAGGGCTTATTATTAAATGTTGCTGTGAATCCTAGAATTATAAGAATTCAATCAAAAGCTCTGCTCCTCGCTTTTTTTCCTAGCCATGGTGCTCCTATCTTCTTTTTTACTTTTCTTTAGTTTCTTCTTCACTTCCTCTTTAACGGCTTCCGGTGTCGATGAAGATATAAGCTTCTGCTTCTTGCTCTTCTTTCTGGTCGCCTCGGCCCCTGGTACATTGTAGTATCGTAGAGTTTATCTGATGTTATCTTTTCATCTTGTTCTTGGTCTACTACGTGCTCTGTTACCCTTTCCTTTCTTTCGGTGTGTGGCCTAGTTGGTGTGGCGACATCAGCAA